TCACTTGGTGGTCTTCTCCATCCGCTTCCCTCCTTTCGTCACCGCCTCCTTGTAGGTCACCTTCTTCCGACGAACGGCTTCATTGAGGGCCGCTCCTGGCTTGGTCTCCGGGCAGTTGGCATTGTTATCGTGCGGATCCGCGATGACCACATCCATCACCCAGGTCTTCCCGCTGTCCGTGTGGAGACTCACGACATCCGGGATCGGCTTCCCACCGAAAAAAGCCTTATCCTCCATCGTCGTCTGCATGCCCGCCTCCCTGCAGACCATCGCCACATGGTCCCGGATGGCATTGTGGGGGATAGACGGCGCGTACTTGGTGGAGCACCTGAGAGCATGCCCCGCCGCGTTACAAGTGGATAAGTCCTTCCCGCACGAGCAAGTCCCCGCCTGAATGAGGTGTGGGATGTCCCGACCCAACCGAAGGTTCGCCGCAATCGCCCAGTCGTCGCTTTCGAGCTGGAGGTCCGGTCGAGACGGTAGAGCCGAGACCCACGCGCCCGCGTTCTGCAGCTGCAAACTGGTCAATCGGGCCTTGTGGCGGGGCCGGTTAAGGGACTTCCGGATCCCGTTCAAAGCCTCAATCTGCAGCTCCCGTGCCAAAACCGTGAAAGTTCCGCGTTCAAGCCCTCTCTCCCCGACTGTCTTCCACGTAGGCAGCTTCGTGCGGACTTTTTCTGGAAGCCTTTTCAGCGCCGACTCAGCCTCCTCAAAGATGGGCGGGAAAGGCGCCTCGCTGTCCTCGACTCCGAGAATGCTCTTCCTCCCATCTGAAAGAAGGACTTCAGGGTCCCAGCGACACTAAGAAGGCTGACCACATACGCCAAGTCAGCTGTCCTCGCGGCTGATTGGACCCCGAAGCCACCATCCGTTCCGGTAGAGTGATCTGCGTCTGCGCTGCCTTGTTAACCTTGCCAGGGTTGAGTAAGCTGTCGTCGTTCAGGATCTCCGAAAAGCCACAACATGGAAGTGTCCCAGAGTGATAGGGTCTCCCGGAAGCAAGAAGTCGGTGGTGTGGTGCGGCTTAAAGTTAGGCCGCGCCGAGACCGATCCTGCCAGGATCCGGGAGGCCATCTGAGCATGATTGATCCGAGGCAGTTTGCCCAAGATCGACTGCCCAGTTTCCATCTTCGTCAAGACCCGCACCTCGACGAAAGACTTGCTACCAACTGGAGAACCAACTACCACAAGGCCCTCCGCAGCCTCGGTCATCTCGCAGAGCGGGTTGTCGGCGGACGGCCGCTTGCCACTCGGCGCGTACCACTGGCACTTTTTCTGCGAGACTTCCAAGTCGATCCCCTGAAGCTCCTTACAAGGGAAGGGAAAGCAGCTCCAATCGCGTCCAGTCTCCCCAGCAGTACGTATCGTCCGCATAGCTGCATAAGAAGACGTCTCGGTGCGCCGCCTTCACCGCCTCCAGAGCAGGTTGTTGTGCTAGTGCGTAGAGAAACGGCCCCAGAGGATCCCCTTGCCTCACTCCTGTTCGCGCGACCACAAGGTGTGCCGTGTTGCATCGGCTCTGTACAAGAGTGGGGAGGGACTCCCGTAGAGGGTTCGCAGAAACGGGGTCATGCCCACAAATGGGCCCTTGACCAACTCCTTGAAGAGCGCCTGCCGACAAACTGAGTTAAAAGCGTTTTTAACATCGATTTGAAGAACGCCCCAGGTGGGGTTAGCCTTCAATGCAGCGCGCACCCCGTGGATAACCGTCTCCGCTCCGTTCCGCGCACCAGCCCCAAACTGCCCTTTCGGCTTCAGGTGTCGGATGATGGCGTCATGGTAGTCGACCGCGAGACACCGGGCCAGGAGCGAGGGAGAGACTTCCCCCACTGCGATCGGGCGGACAACCGCCACCTGGTTTCTCCAAAGCCACTAGCGAACTCGAGGTCCACCACTGCGCCACCCCCTGCCCCACATCCCCTCTTGCTGCTGCCTGAAGCCATGCCCCCAGGAGTTTGAGGTCTCCGGGGTGCGTGAAGATTCGCGTAAGAAGTCCATGCGCCAGCCGTGGGACCGCCTGCAAGCCCACGAGGGCTCTCGCGAAGGGCCCGCGCGAGAACTTCCTGCTTCAGGACCCACTTCGTGGGTTTCTCCGGGTGAGGAAGGGTGCAGCTGCCGTCCTCTGCTGTGAAGGGGACCGTGGGGCGGGGTGCTTCTCCTCCAGACTCTTACGAGTCTCGTCCGTGGTTGGGGCAAGGTCTGCCGCAATCAGCGCCTCTGCTGCTCGTGAGAGTTCAGCCAGCTCCCCGAACTTGATGCAGCGACGTGTTCGCGCCAGTGTATCCGCACTGCCGTACCGGTCGTCCACTCGGGCCTTGTTCTCTCGAACCCTGCTATTCTTTTGTTGATAGCCGCCAGGGCGCGCAGGTGTAACTTGGTCCAGTCCCCGCGCCTCCATAAGGTCAGCAGCTCCCGCACCTGCTTCCAGTGAGGGAGTCGTTCGAGAGCGCAGCTGTTGATAGGCACAGCTGCGGAAAAAGCCCTAGCAGAGTCCCGGCCGGCTTATGGTCCCCATCCTGTCGGAGTTTCTCAAGAATTGGACGGAGACAGGCGGTGGCCAGCCCTCGGCATTTGAAAGGCACCTTGCGGAGGGTAGGCAGCATAGCCGCTTCCTCTCCAAGAATGGGTGACCAGTCTATTGCCTCAAAGTTGGCCCAGTATTCCGCCTCGTCTGCTACCCGCTGCGCAGCCCTCCGGTGTTGAAGAGACCGTCCGCTTTCTGTCTCGGAGCTGGTCCTCCCGCTGCGCGTCCCGGTTTGCGCACCCTTTTTTTCCGCTTGGCGTGGTCCTCACCCTCCTTGCGGCTGCGGAACAAGCGGCTGCAGAAAGTGCACCGGTGGCCCTTTGGGAGTTTTGCTTGGCCCCCATGACTGATAGCGCTGGAGTCGGATTTTGCAGGTGCGGCTGATGGGTCCTTTGACGCTTTGGTTGGCGCAGAGGCATCCTCCGAGCTCGAAGCAGCAAAGGTTGGTGGCTTGGCCGCGCCCGCCTTCCCGCGTCACTGCTTGGGACTTGTCGCGAGGTCCAAGCTCGCCCCACGCTGCCCTCCCCTTGGGGCGGGGGCCCGGTGACTTTGGAACCAGCGCCATGCAGGGGGGTGCTTCGCCCGACGGCTTTGGAGTCGAGGTCGGCACTGCAGGTGCTGCAGGGGCCGTAGCAGTCGAAGTGAGGAGAGCCCGAGGCTTAGGCTTCTTCTTCTTCTTCTTCTGCTTCGGCTTTTTGCCCTTGGTCTTGTGACCCGAGTCCACCCCTTTGTGGGAGGGAGGGATGGGACTTTGCCGCGGCCGAGGCTGCCTCGCTAGCCGTGGAATGTCGGGAATGGCTCCCCAGATTCTCCGTGGCTGGCTTAGCGACCTCCTCTCGCCAGCAGAAACAGAACGACGCACCTCCTCGAGTGGTTAGACATTTCTGAACCTTCTCTGAGAGGGCGATCATCATGTCAATGAGGCGGTCAAAAGGAATCCCGGCCTTGGTATCCGGGAGTGGCTCGCGGTGTGACTGGCTGCTATTCCGATCATCGACAGGCAGGGTCCTCATGTCCACGTCGGGCCCAGCTTCAGCTGGATGTGCCGGTTGTCGGAGTGAGTGGACGGGGGTGCCTCTTTGTCCAGCGGCGCCCACTGAGTGGGTGTTGCTGGGAGTCATCCCCGAGGACCTCTTCAGCCCCTTTCGCCTGGGGAGCCGCTTCCGGAGCGGTCTGATCTCCCTCGAGCACAGGCAACGAGCCCTGCGCCTTGGGTTCTGGACTGGTCCGTAGTGCTTCCCTCGGCTTGGCTGAGTCGGGCCGGGGCTGGGGGGCATCGATGCCGCTTTACGAATTTTGCGGATCTCTGTCCCCAAAAGACGTGGTGACAACCTTTACATTTCGCAAACCACTGACGAGAGGTTGCTGGTGTTGAGGCTGTCACCGGCTCACCGTTGGGACCCCTTGTTCGTCGCCCGCTTTGATCCTCCGGAAATTCCGGGGCGGGTTTTCCAAGGTGTGTCCCTGATCCGTCGAAGGGGTTCTGAATTGCCTTCTCCGGCTCCGAAGACGGTTCGACCGTGTTCAACACAGGTTCGAGAAACGATCTTTGAGGGGGCGGGTAGTCTGTTTCGTGAGTGTCTTCGCCTCAGCGGCGCCTTTCCTTTTCTTTTGTTTCCGACCTCGCACTTCCAACTGTTGCTGGTTGTCGTGCCCGGGTGGATGGACTATGACCACATTTGGCACGTAGCCAGTGGCAAGTCCAAGGGTTGCTGCGGAACAGCAGACGTCTGGCCGGGGCCCTCTTCAGGACTTTGCTTCTTTGTGTGGTGTCTCCTCAAGGTCAAGCGCTTTGCAGAAGCGCTTGCCCTTTTCTGCGAGATGCAGGGCGCCAACGTACACCGTCAGTGAGAGGGCCTCGGGTCCTTCAGGGTGGGCGAATCCCTTTGAACCTCCCCACAGGGACAAGACGGGCTGGCTCGCCCTGTTGGGGCCCGGGGCGGGAAGGGCTAGGTGCTTCTTCCCTCGACGGCGTTGTGGCTTGCCATCGGCCGCCCTTTGTATGGGCGGACTCTAGTGCGAAGATTACTCCCCGCAGAGCGCTCTTTCTTAAGCTTCCGTCAGAGTCCGGAAGACCACCACCATATAGTGTCTGTACTTCCCACTAACCGTGGTTCGCTGCAGATCGGCTTCCAGCTGTCGGGTTGTGACCATACCCTACCCGCCTAGCCGTAAGGCCGGCGCCACGAGACCGAACGAAGGTCCGCTTGGTACCGACAGTGCCACAGCTTTTCCTGCAGTAAGATGTTGTCGCAGGGCCCCAATGCCCCACTACCCCTTAGGCGCTTCAGCCGAGCCGGCACCACCCTGTGCAG